CAACTCCAGCAAGCCAACCAAAACAGCAAACTCCAGCAAACCCAACCAAAACTAACAAGCTCAGCAAACCCAAAACTAACCAAACTCCAACCAAACACTGCGAACTAACGTCCCTCTTCGCTGCTGACACCACCTGGGCCTTCCTGTCAGCGAGGGCGTCAGCTGATGGGAGCGACTGTCAGTCAATCCAACACCAAGCGTCTAAAGGTCTGTCCAAACATGTGTGTGTGTGTGTGTGTGTGTGTGTGTGTGTGTGTGTGTTGTGTGTGTGTACATATTGTTTGCAGAATATTCATTATCTGGAAATGTGTGTATGTGTGTGCGTATATATGTGTGTGTATGTGTATGTATGTATGTATGTGCATGTGTACATATTATTACTAATATTGTTTACCTAATGAGTCACAGACATGCAAACAATAATAATATCTCCATAGATGTAAACAAACGAGACAGGCTTTCTCATACCGCCATTATTTGTTTACTAACACGTCAACTGATCACATGTAAAACGATTGCCTTTGTTTTTTGTTTTACTAAGGTCGTGACGTCATCTGGTGAGAGGGTTGAAACGTAAACATTAAATTTCACCTATTAGTGTTCAAATTCTAAGGTGGTAGGATGAGAATGTAGGGGTAGGGTAAGGGAGTGGGGTTGAGACAGGGAGTGGTGAGGAGATTGAGGTGATGGTAAGATAGGTTGATGGTGGTGTTAGGTAGGGATAGGATGGTGATGGGGAATTGGGGTGGGGATTAGGGTGGGGTGAGATGAGATGTGAGTGTGGGGTGAGTTGGGAGTTGGGGGAGGAGTTAGTGGTGGGAGTGGGGTTGAGTGAAGTGTTGGGGGTGGGATTGGGAGTTGGGTGGTGGGGATGGGATGGGTGGGGAGATGGGTGGAAGTGGTGGTGGGGTTGGGATGAGTGGTGGGGATGGGGATGGAGAGTGTGGGTGGGATTGGGATGGTGGTGGGATTGGGTTGGGTGGGGAGTGGAGTGGGGTTGAGATGGGGGTGTGGGGAGAGGGTGGGGTGAGATTGGGGTGGTGGTGGGGTGTGGGGTGGGGTGGGATGAGATGGTTAGTGGTGGGGTTAGGGTGGGGTGGGGTAGTGTGGGAGTAGGGGTGAGGTAGGGGAGGAGTGGGGTGGGAATTGAGGGTAGGTGAGGTGGGTGTGGTGGGAGTGGGTGGGGTTAGACAGGGTGGTGGTGGGGGTGGTGGTGGGGTGGGGTGAGATGGTGGTGTGGTGGGGTTGGGATGGGTTAGGGGTGGTGGTGGTGGTGGGGTTGGGGAGTGGGGTGGGGTGAGGGTAGTGGTGGGTGGGGTGGGGTGGGGTGGGGGTGGGGTGGGGGTGGGTGGGGTTGGGGGTGGGGATGATGGTGGGGTGAGGTGGTGAGATGATGGTGGGGTGGGGTTGAGATGAGTGGTGTGTTGGGGTGGGGTGGGGTGGTGGTGGGGTGGTGGTGGGGTGGGGATTGGTGGTGTGTGGGTGGGGTTAGGTTGAGTTGGTGTTGGGGTGGGGTGAATGATGGTTATTGGTGGGGTGGGATGTGGGTTGGGTGGTGGTGGTGAGTGGGATTGGTGGTTAGGTGGGGTTGAGTGGGTGGGATGGTGGTGGTGGTGGGGTTGGGGATGGGTGAGTTGGGGTTAAGGTTGGGTTGGGTTGAGTTGGGGATTGGGTTGGTGGTTGGGGTTGGTTGGTTGGGGTTGGTTGGGGTTGGGGTTGGGTTGGTTGGGTTATTGGGGATTGGGGTTGGTTGGGTTGATTGGTGGTGGTGGGATTGGGGTTGGGGTTGGGGTTGGGGTTGGGGTTGGGGTTGGGGTTGGGGTTGGGTTGGGGTTGGGGTTGGGGTTGGGTGGGGTTGGGGTGGTGGGGTTGGGATTGGTGGTGGGGTTGGTTGGGGTTGGGATTGGGATGGTGGTTGGGGAGTTGGGGTTGGGGTGGTGGGGTTGATTGGTGGATTGGGGTTGGTGGTGGGGTTGGGGATTGGTGGTGGGGTTGAGGGTTGGGAGGGTTGGGGTTTGTTGGGGTTAGTTGGGTTGGGTGGGTTGGTTGGTGGGGTTGGTTGGTTTGGGGTTGAGTTGGTTGGGGTTGGGTTGGGTTGGGGTTGGGTGTGGTGGGGTGGTTGGTTGGGGTTGGGGTTGGGGTTGGGGTTGGGGTTGGGGTTGGGGTTGGTGGTTGGGGTTGGTGGTGGGGTTGGGGTTGGTGGGGTTGGGGTTGGGGTTGGGGTTGGGTTGGGGTGGGGTTGGGGTTGGGGTGGGGTTGGGGTGGGGTTGGTTGGGGTTGGGATTGGTTGGGGTTGGGGTTGGGGTTGGTTGGGGTTAGGTTGGGGTTGGGGTTGGTTGGTGGTGGTTGGGTTGGGGTTGGGGTTGGGGGTTGGGGTTGGGGTTGGTTGGGGTTGGGGTTGGGGTTAGGTTGGGATTGGTGGTTGGGGTTGGGTTGGGGTTGGGTTGGGGTTGGTGGTGGTTGATTGGTGGGGTTGGGGTTGGGTTGGTGGGGTTATTGGTTGGGGATGGGGTTGGGGTTGGGGTTGGTGGTTGGTGGTGGGGTTGGGGTTGGGGTTGGGGTTGGTGGTTGTGGTGGGGTTGGGGTTGGGGTTGGGTTGGGGTTGGGGTTGGTGGTGGGGTGGTTGGGGTTGGGGTTGGGTTGGGGTTGGGGTTGGTGGTGGGGTTGGGGTTGGGGTTGGGGTGGGGTAGGGGTGGTGGTAGGTTTGGGGTGGGGTAGGGTGGGGTAGGGTAGGGTGGGGGTGGGGTAGGGGTAGGGTAGGGTAGGAGGTAGGGTAGGGTGGGTTCTGGGTTCCTAAATACGCATTAATAATAATAATAATAATAATAATAATAATAATAATAATAATAATAATAATAATAATAATAATAATAATAATAATAATAACGCCGTCAACAACAACAACAACCACACTACCTGGCACTCACAACAAGACGTCACCTGACCGTGGCACTGCAGATGAAAGATGGCACCCCGTGTTTCCGTGACCTAACCTAACCTAACTCTCTCTCTCTCTCTCTCTCTCTCTCTCTCTTCTCTCTCTCTCTCTCTCTCTCTCTCTCTCTCTCACCTGGGTAAAAGCCAAAACCCCTCATCTCTCACCTGCACCTAACCACCTCACTCTCCCGATAGTTAAGCGATAATTGGGTGGTTGGCGGCGCTAGGGTGTGCTGGAGATATGGTTAATGGTAGTTAGGACAAGGTAGTTGATAATTGGGGGGGTTTGGTGACGTAGTGCTTGTTAGAGAGGGTAGTTGTGTTGTTAGGAATAATAATATATAATAATAATAATAATAATAATAATATATATAATAATATATGCAAAACCCACCCCACCCACCACCCCACCCACACACACCCACCAACACCCACACCACACACACCCCCACACCCACCCCACACCCACCCACCCACCCACACCTGACTTACACATGTGGGTGGAGCCATTAGGACAGTGTTAGATGATATAAACAGGAAGATGTTTTTCAGGTGTGTTAATGAGCACACACCTGTAGATTATACACCTGTGAGGAGATAATTAACCTGTCTGTTTATGGTGACGGTTTTGTGTTGTGTCTGTCTGTCTGTCTAACTGTCTGTCTGTCTGTCTGTCTGTCTGTCTGTCTGTTTGTCTATATGTCTGTCTATCTGTCTGTCTGTCTGTCTGTCTGTCTGTCTGTCTGTCTGTCTGTCCAACTGTCTGTCTGTCTGTCTGTCTGTCTGTCTGTCTGTTTGTCTATATGTCTGTCTATCTGTCTGTCTGTCTGTCTGTCTGTCTGTCTGTCTGTCTGTCTTCTAACTGTCTGTCTGTCTATATGTCTGTCTGTCTGTCTGTCTAACTGTCTAACTGTCTGTCTGTCTAACTGTCTGTCTGTCTCTTTATATCTCTCTATCATACACTGTCTGTCTGTCTGTCTGTCTGTCTGTCTTCCTGTCTGTCTATATGTCTGTCTGTCTGTCTATATATGTCTGTCTGTCTGTCTGTCTGTCTGTCTGTCTGTCTATCTGTCTGTCTGTCTGTCTGTCCTAACTGTCTGTCTGTCTGTCTGTCTGTCTAACTGTCTGTCTATCTGTCTGTCTGTCTGTCCTAACTGTCTGTCTGTCTGTCTGTCTGTCTGTCTGTCTGTCTGTCTGTCTGTCTGTCTGTCTGTCTGTCTGTCTCTCTGTCTGTCTATCTGTCTGTCTGTCTGTCTGTCTGTCTTCTGTCTGTTTCTCTCACACTCTATTCTTTCGCACACACACACACACACACACACACACACACACACACACACACACACACACACACACACACACACAGATTGACATTACAAAAATAGTAAATAATAATCTCGTAGTTCCATAGACGTGTAAAATCCACTATCCTGTCCGCTATTAATAGTGAAACCCTCTATATACCGGATTTATCTATATATAATCCGTTATTTGGAGGTTTTCTGCATCTAACGGATCCTCGATATAGCGGATTTTCATTTCTATATAGTTCGTTAAATGGAGGATTCGCATCTAACGGACCCTCGATATAGGGGACTTTCATCTCTATATGGTTCGTTAAATGGAGGTTTCACATCTAACGGATCCTCGATATAGGGGACTTTCATCTCTATATGGTTCGTTAAATGGAGGTTTCACATCTAACGGATCCTCTATATAAGGATTTTCATTTCTATATAGTTCGTTAAATGGAGGATTCGCATCTAACGGACCCTCGATATAGGGGAGTTTCATCTCTAAATTATACTTATATCGGTATAAAGTGAACTTAAGTGAATCAAACATACATAATATAAGTATTAAGTGAGCATAAGTGAACACAATAGTTATAAACTGATCATAAGTGTACATATTAAGTGCAATTTATAAGTGCACTTAAATTGAATCGAACATATATAAGTAGTAAGTGGCCATAAGTGTACAAAAGAGCTTTAAAGTAATCCTAAGTGTACATATTAAGTATCAAACGTCCCTAAGCGTACTTTATAAGTGTACTTTATAAGTGTACTTACCTCCAGACGTGAGAACTATATCCAGGGCATTTATCTCTACACATAAGGCATGGTTGTCCCTCGTCCACTTCCTGTACCAGCACCCCCTGAAACAAAAGAAAACGAGGCGTGAGTCATAGAAACATAGAAAACGGGAGATCAGTCATAGAAAACGGGAGATCAGTCATAAAAACGGGAGATTAGTCATAAAAACGGGAGATTAGTCATAGAAAACGGGAAATTAGTCATAAAAACGGGAGATTAGTCATAAAAAACGGGAGATTAGTCATAGAAAACGGGAGATCAGTCATAAAAACAGGGAGATTAGTCAAAAACGGGAGATCAGTCATAAAACGGGAGATTAGTCAAAAAACAGGAGATCAGTCATAGAAGCAAGTCAGTCATAAAACGGAGATCAGTCATAAAACAGGAGATTAGTCATAAAAACGGGAGATCAGTCATAAAGGAAGTCAGTCATAAAAACGGGAGATCAGTCATAAAAACGGGAGATTAGTCATAAAAACGGGAGATCAGTCATAAAAACGGAGATTAGTCATAAAAACGGGAGATCAGTCATAAAAAACGGGAGATCAGTCATAAAACAGGAGATTAGTCATAAAACAGGAGATCAGTCATAGAAACGGAGTTTAGTCATAAAAAACGGGAGATCAGTCATAAAAACGGGAGATTAGTCATAAAAACGGGAAATGAGTAAAAAAAACACAAAACGGGAAGTAATCAATTAAAAAATCAAAGAAAAATGGAAATGCGGCATAAAAAACGGGAATTAGACGAAGAAAATACATAAGTCACATTCTTACATTAAACTCATTCAACATTCATATAATTTTGCCTCATCATTAATTACTCACCGTTCTAACTTCACGAGGAGAATTGTTTGACTCAACACCTTCCACTTGTTTCATTGTCTATCTGTTATGTGAATCTGTTAACGGAGTAGATGAGTTAATGTCCTGTTAACAGTGAAGGGAGGAGTTATTGTTCTGTTAATGTCCTGTTAACAGTGAAGGGAAGTGAGTTATTGTTCTGTTAATGTCCTGTTAACAGTGAAGGGAGTGAGTTATTGTTCTGTTAATGTCCTGTTAACAGTGAAGGGAGTGAGTTATTGTTCTGTTAATGTCCTGTTAACAGTGAGGGGAGTGAGTTATTGTTCTGTTAATGTCCTGTTAACAGTGAAGGAGTGAGTTATTGTTCTGTTATCCTGTTAACAGTGAAGGGAGTGAGTTATTGTTCTGTTAATGTCCTGTTAACAGTGAAGGGAGTGAGTTATTGTTCTGTTAATGTCCTGTTAACAGTGAAGGGGAGTGAGTTATTGTTCTGTTAATGTCCTGTTAACAGTGAAGGGAGTGAGTTATTGTTCTGTTAATGTCCTGTTAACAGTGAGGGGAGTGAGTTATAGTCTTGTTTTGAATCCGTTAACAGTATAGCACGGTAATTAAGGGTTGCAGAGCAGTCCCACAGAGCTAAGTATAGCACACAGTATTGAGGGTTACAGAGCAGTCCCACAGAGCTACAAGCAGAGCCACGGTATAGCACACGGTATTAAGGATTACAGAGCAGTCCCACAAGGATTACAGAGCAGTCCCACAGAGCTACAAGCAGAGCCACGGTATAGCACACGGTAATGAGGATTACAGAGCAGTCCCAAGGATTACAGAGCAGTCCCACAAGGATTACAGAGCAGTCCCACACAGCTACAAGCAGAGCCACGGTATAGCACACGGTATTAAGGATTACAGAGCAGTCCCACAAGGATTACAGAGCAGTCCCAAAAGGATTACAGAGCAGTCCCACACAGCTACAACAGAGCCACGGTATAGCACACGGTATTAAGGATTACAGAGCAGTCCCACAAGGATTACAGAGCAGTCCCACAAGGATACAGAGCAGTCCCACAAGGATTACAGAGCAGTCCCACAAGGATTACAGAGCAGTCCCACAAGGATTACAGAGCAGTCCCACAAGGATTACAGAGCAGTCCCACAGAGCTACAAGCAGAGCCACGGTATAGCACACGGTATTAAGGATTACAGAGCAGTCCCACAAGGATTACAGAGCAGTCCCACAGAGCTACAAGCAGAGCCACGGTATAGCACACGGTATTAAGGATTACAGAGCAGTCCCACAAGGATTACAGAGCAGTCCCACAAGGATTACAGAGCAGTCCACACAGCTACAAGCAGAGCCACGGTATAGCACACGGTATTAAGGATTACAGAGCAGTCCCACAAGGATTACAGAGCAGTCCCACAAGGATTACAGAGCAGTCCCACAAGGATTACAGAGCAGTCCCAATAAGGATTACAGAGCAGTCCCACAAGGATTACAGAGCAGCCCACAAGGATTACAGAGCAGTCCCACAGCTACACTCAGAGCCACGGTATAGCACACGGTATTAAGGGATTACAGAGCAGTCCCACAAGGATTACAGAGCAGTCCCACAAGGATTACAGAGCAGTCCCACACAGCTACACCTCAGAGCCACGGTATAGCACACGGTATTAAGGGATTACAGAGCAGTCCCACAAGGATTACAGAGCCCCACAAGGATTACAGAGCAGTCCCAAAAGGATTACAGAGCAGTCCCACACAGCTACAAGCAGAGCCACGGTATAGCACACGGTATTAAGGATTACAGAGCAGTCCCAAGGATTACAGAGCAGTCCCACAAGGATTACAGAGCAGTCCCACACAGCTACACTCAGAGCCACGGTATAGCACACGGTATTAAGGATTACAGACAGTCCCACAAGGATTAAAGAGCAGTCCCACAAGGATTACAGAGCAGTCCCACACAGTGCCAAGCAGAGCCACGGTATAGCACACGGTATTAAGGATTACAGAGCAGTCCCACAAGGATTACAGAGCAGTCCCAAGGATTACAGAGCAGTCCCACAAGGATTACAGAGCAGTCCCACAAGGATTACAGAGCAGTCCCACAGCTACACTCAGAGCCACGGTATAGCACACGGTATTAAGGATTCAGAGCAGTCCCACAAGATTACAGAGCAGTCCCACAAGGATTACAGAGCAGTCCCACACAGCTACACTCAGAGCCACGGTATAGCACACGGTATTAAGGATAACAGAGCAGTCCCACAAACAGAGCAGTCCCACAAGGATTACAGAGCAGTCCCACAAGGATTACAGAGCAGTCCCACACAGCTACACCAGAGCCACGGTATAGCACACGGTATTAAGGATTACAGAGCAGTCCCACAAGGATTACAGAGCAGTCCCACAAGGATTACAGAGCAGTCCCACAAGGATTACAGAGCAGTCCCAAAGGATTACAGAGCAGTCCCACAAGGATTACAGAGCAGTCCCACACAGCTACACTCAGAGCCACGGTATAGCACACGGTATTAAGGATTACAGAGCAGTCCCACAAGGATTACAGAGCAGTCCCACAAGGATTACAGAGCAGTCCCAAAGGATTACAGAGCAGTCCCACACAGCACACTCAGAGCCACGGTATAGCACACGGTATTAGGATTACAGAGCAGTCCCACAAGGATTACAGAGCAGTCCCACAAGGATTACAGAGCAGTCCCACAAGGATTACAGAGCAGTCCCACACAGCTACAAGCAGAGCCACGGTATAGACACGGTATTAAGGATTACAGAGCAGTCCCACAAGGATTACAGAGCAGTCCCAAGGATTACAGAGCAGTCCCACAAGGATTACAGAGACCCACAAGGATTACAGAGCAGTCCCACAAGGATTACAGAGCAGTCCCACAAGCTACACCAGAGTACGGTATAGCACACGGTATTGGATTACAGAGCAGTCCCACAAGGATTACAGGAGCAGTCCCAGGACAAGCAGAGAGCAGTCCCACACAGCTACACTCAGAGCCACGGTATAGCACACGGTATTAAGGATTACAGAGCAGTCCCACAAGGATTACAGAGCAGTCCCACAAGGATTACAGAGCAGTCCCACAAGGATTACAGAGCAGTCCCACACAGCTACAAGCAGAGCCACGGTATAGCACACGGTATAAGGATTACAGAGCAGTCCCACAAGGATTAGCAGAGCAGTCCCACAAGGATTACAGGAGCAGTCCCACAAGGATTACAGAGCAGTCCCACAAGGATTAGAGCAGTCCCACAGGATTACAGAGCAGTCCCACAAGGATTACAGAGCAGTCCCACAAGGATTACAGAGCAGTCCCACAAGGATTACAGAGCAGTCCCAAACAGCTACAAGCAGAGCCACGGTATAGCACACGGTTAAGGATTACAGAGCAGTCCCACAAGGATTACAGAGCAGTCCCACAAGGATTACAGAGCAGTCCCACAAGGATTACAGAGCAGTCCACACAGCTGCACAGAGCCACGGTATAGCACACTGTATTAAGGATTACAGAGCAGTCCACAAGGATTACAGAGCAGTCCCAGATTACAGAGCAGTCGGATCAGGGTAGGATTACAGAGCAGTCCCACACAGCTACAAGCAGAGCCACGGTATAGCACACGGTATTAGGATTACAGAGCAGTCCACAAGGATTACAGAGCAGTCCACAAGGATTACAGAGCAGTCCCACAAGGATTACAGAGCAGTCCACAAGGATTCAGAGCAGTCCCAAGGATTACAGAGCAGTCCCAGGGATTACAGGCAGTCCCAAGGATTCAGACAGTCCACAAGGATTACAGAGCAGTCCCACAGCTCAAGCAGAGCCACGGTATAGCACACGGTATTAAGTTACAGAGCAGTCCACAAGGATTACAGGCAGTCCCAAGTTGGTGGGTCACAGCACGAGCCACGGTATAGCACACGGTATTGGATTACAGAGCAGTCCCACAAGGATTACAGAGCAGTCCACAGGATTACAGAGCAGTCCCACACAGCTACCTCAGAACCACGGTATAGCACACGGTATTAGGATTACAGAGCAGTCCCACAAGGATTACAGAGCAGTCCCACAAGGATTACAGAGCAGTCCCTAGGATTACAGAGCAGTCCACACAGCTCACAGGCCGAGCACACGTATTATTACAACAGTCCCAAGGATTACAGAGCAGTCCCACAAGGATTACAGAGCAGTCACACAGCTACAAGCAGAGCCACGGTATAGCACACGGTATTAAGGATTACAGAGCAGTCCCACAAGGATTACAGAGCAGTCCCACAAGGATTACAGAGCAGTCCCACAAGGATACAGAGCAGTCCCACACAGCGCACGGTATAGAGGTAAGTTACAGAGCAGTCCCACAAGGATTACAGAGCAGTCCCACACAGCTACACTCAGGCCACGGTATAGCACACGGTATTAAGGATTACAGAGCAGTCCCAAGGATTACAGAGCAGTCCACAAGGATTACAGAGCAGTCCCGGATTACAGAGCAGTCCCACAGCTACAAGCAGAGCCACGGTATAGCACACGGTATTAGGATTACAGAGCAGTCCCACAGGATTACAGAGCAGTCCACAAGGATTACAGAGCAGTCCCAAGGATTACAGGCAGTCCACAAGGTTACAGAGCAGTCCCAGCTACAACGGTATTAAGGATTACAGAGCAGTCCACAAGGATTACAGAGCAGTCCACACAGCTACCTCAGAGCCACGGTATAGCACACGGTATTAAGGATTACAGAGCAGTCCCACAAGGATTACAGAGCAGTCCACAAGGATTACAGAGCAGTCCCACACAGCTACAAGCAGAGCCACGGTATAGCACACGGTATTAAGGATTACAGAGCAGTCCCACAAGGATTACAGAGCAGTCCCAAGGATTCAGAGCAGTCCACAAGGATTACAGAGCAGTCCACTACACTCAGAGCCACGGTATAGCACACGGTATTAGGATTACAGTCCCACAAGGATTACAGAGCAGTCCCAAGGATTACAGAGCAGTCCCACACAGCTACAAGCAGAGCCACGGTATAGCACACGGTATTAAGGTTACAGAGCAGTCCACAGGATTACAGAGCAGTCCCAGTTGTACAAGGATTACAGAGCAGTCACACAGCTACAAGCAGAGCCACGGTATAGCACACGGTATTAAGGATTACAGAGCAGTCCCACGGATTACAGAGCAGTCCCAAAGGATTAGAGCAGTCCCGGTTACAGCAGCTAGCAGAGCCACGGTATAGCACACGGTATTAAGGATTACAGAGCAGTCCCACAGGATTACAGGCAGTCCGGGGTGTTGGTTTGGTATAGCACACGGTATTGGGATTACAGAGCAGTCCCACAAGGATTACAGAGCAGTCCCACAAGGATTACAGAGCAGTCCACACAGCTACAAGCAGAGCCACGGTATAGCACACGTATTATTACAGAGCAGTCCCACAAGGATTACAGGCAGTCCCACAAGGATTACAGAGCAGTCCCACAAGGATTACAGAGCAGTCCCGTTACAGGCACAAGGATTACAGAGCAGTCCCACAGGCTACAAGCAGAGCCACGGTATAGCACACGGTATTAAGGATTACAGAGCAGTCCCACAAGGATTACAGAGCAGTCCCACAAGGATTACAGAGCAGTCCCACAAGGATTACAGAGCAGTCCACAAGGATTACAGAGCAGTCCACAAGGATTACAGAGCAGTCACACAGCTACAATCAGAGCCACAGTATAGCACCAACTGGGGATATAAAACAG